ACACCCGATCCATTAATCTCATTCTTTTAGTTCATCAAGCCTTCGTTTATACCAAGACATCATCATTAACAAAGAGGTTTTTTAAAGGGTTAAGATTCAACAGCCTCATCATGCTTATTTTATCACAATTATATAATCACATCATGCAAGCATACAATTAAGCATATAGAAGGGTTTACAATACTACCCAATACATATCATTCGCTATTAAGAGTTTACTATGAAATAGCATAAACCATAACCTACCTCCACCAAAGAATTGCGATTAAGCAATCTACTTTCCCAAAGCTGCGTTCTTCCTCTCTCTCAATCGATTGTTTCTCCCTCTCTCTCTCTGTTCTTTTTCTTTTTCTTATTCAAACCCTCTTTCTTTTACCCTAATTAGCATATAATTAAGTATAAAAGATGACCAAAGTAACCCATTTTTTAGCATATAATTAAGTCCAAAACGCCCCTTAAAATTTTTAACAGAAATCTGACCCAGTCAGGGTACGCAGTCTGTGACGGTCCGTCCTGCACGTTCGTCACAAAGTTCAGAGAGTTAATTCTGCGGAAAGGATTTGTGACGGTCCGTCGAGCCCTCAATGGTCCGTCCTGCCATTTCATCGAGAAGTTCAGAGAGTCGATCTCAGTACCCAAATTTCTAAATTCTAAGTGTTTTGGAACGAGACACCCTCGACGGTCCGTCGTGGGATCCGTCGACCCAGACAGTGATTTTCAGAAATTAACTCTGCTGCTCCAAATGACTAAACAGGTCGTTATAATAGATACCAATTTACCCATCGTTCGTCCTCGAAAGATCACAAGAAGAAAAACAAGGGCGAAAAGGAGTACCTGAATCTGTAAACATGTGTGGGTATCTTTCTCGCATATCAGCCTCCTTCTCCCAAGTGGACTCTTCAACTGGCCGATTCTTCCATTGAACTTTGATGGATGCAATCTCCCTTGATCTCAACTTGCGAATTTCTCTATCTAGAATGGCAACAGGCTCCTCCTCATAAGTCAAATTCTCATCAAGCAGAACTGAATCCCATCGAATAATGTAGTTTCCATCCCCATGGTATCTTTTCAACATAGACACGTGAAATACCGGATGCACTCCTGACAGTCCTGGGGGCAAGGCTAATTCATAAGCCACCTCCCCTACTCGCTTAAGTACTTCAAATGGCCCAATATACCTTGGTCAAGCAATCTACTTTCCCAAAGCTGCGTTCTTCCTCTCTCTCAATCGATGGTTTCTCCCTCTCTCTCTATTCTTTTTCTTTTCTTTTTCTTATTCAAGCCCTCTTTCTTTTACCCTAATTAGCATATAATTAAGTATAAAAGATGACCAAAGTAACCCACTAATTAATTCAAGGGTATCTCCTTTAACCCCCAAGTAATTGAATTATTAACATTCAACCACTAACTTTAAAATTAAAAGCAAGAATAGTCCAAAACGCCCCTTAAAATTTTTAACAGAAATCCGACCCAGTCAGGGTACGCAGTCTATGACGGTCCGTCACAACTGTGACGGTCCGTCCTGCACGTCTGTCACATAGTTCAGAGAGTTAATTCTGCGGAAGGATTTGTGACGATCCGTCGAGCCCTCAACAGTCTGTCGAGCCCTCAATGGCCCGTCAAGCCCTCAATTGTTATTCTAAAAGACGATAAATACCCTTAAGAGTTAACTACTCAAATTTTTAGTGGCATGACAAGCCACATGAGATTAATCTGTCCACCTAAGGGTTGCCAACTAGGATTCATTAGAAAATAACTAGACCTTTAGCGGCGACAAATGTCACCACAAAGTCTGAAAATATTGCCACTAAAACTTTTGAATAATTTATAATGGCGACTAAGGGTGCAACTAGCATTAACTAGTAAGCCTATTTTTTCAACAAAAAGAATGATAATTCACTTACGGTTGCAATCTGATTTTCTAATAAAAATAACATGTCTTTCAATATTAAAAACATCCAATATTATAACGAAAATCATCAAAATTACTTCTTGATTCAAATCTCCTACTACATAATGTATCATTGTACATTTTATGCATTTGCATATAACATAAAAAATAAAACATATAGTGTCTTCAAACTCCTCTATGATTGATATCATTGGTGATTCTAAAAAAATGAAGAAAAGAGCAAAAAAATCAAAATTTAATGCTCAAATAGTTAAAACTTTTAGTGGCGATATGCGGGGCTTTTTTGGCGACTTTTTGAAGTGAATCTTAGTTAGCAACGCTTAGGTTGAGGGATTAGTCCCACGTAACTTGCCACATCATCAAAAGTTTAGGTGGTAACTCTTTTGGATATTTGTAGCCTCTTAGAATTGCAGGGGCATTTTCTATCTGAAAAATATAACGAAAATATAAGTAATTTATTTCACATAGTTTAGAAGCAATTCTGACCATTTCCGTTAACTTTATCATCTTAAGTTATTGTCCAAGAGCTCCTTAGATACTCTTTAAATTCCTGAAATAAACCCATCGTCAAAAATACATCTCCTCATTTGTTTGGAGTTCTTCGATCATTGTCCGAATTCTGTTTGTATAAGTAATTAAATAGAGTTATTACTTTTAGGTGGAATAATGTAGTAGGCCTTTATACTTAGTTCAGATTGTCACTAAGACCTTTCTATTTATAGTTTCGCCAATTGAACATTTAAAGTTAATGAAATTTGATAATTTAAATTTTTTTCTCATCTAATAAATGTACGTGAAATATAAATATGAAAATCGTGCATAATGACAAACTTTTTATTTAAAATAAATAATATTGATATAGTTTAATTTAATTCTTCATAATAACTAGAGTTTCATTTTTTTCTATAATTGGGTCCTACTAAATAATTAATTTGGAAAATACAATAGTTATTTACATAGAAGTCTTTATACAATTCATCTCCTTTTCTTTCTCCCTCTTACACCCTTCAACTTCTCCTGCAACTTATCCATAAAATCAGTTTTGAGTTTCAAATATATAGCATTACGCTCTCAATCAATAGTGGATTCAAAAATTTGAGGTACCGCCAAAAAGTGTATATTCGATTGAATTTTAAGTATTTTTTTCAATTATTTTTAAAGTTTTTCTTGAAATTTCTCATGAAACATTCTTGCATATAGTTGTTGAACATATACAATGGATAATCACAATCCAGCAACAAGATTGACAAGAAATATGCATTTGCACGTCCAAAATTTTGATGAAAAACCATCATTTTCTTTGGATCTAACGCAGGAATTTGGGGAGGTTGCAGGTTCAATAGACATATCTAAAGCTACTGTAGATCTAAATATGAGAATGATCCAATTAGATCGAAAACAGTCAGTGGAAAAGCAAAGAGAATTGGTGTAATGATTGTTGAGGGAGGTATTAAGCATCGGGGTGATGCTAGTTCGACAAAGAAGAGGAAAGGAAAAGAAATTGATTCTTCTGATAAACATGTAGCCTATTTTTAGAGGTGATCTCTGTCATACCGGAGCAAGTTGAACATGAAGAAGTTCAGGTATTTTTAATTTTTTTGCATGTTTTAAAATTGTATAATAAGCTTTATAGTTAGTTTTTCTTTTAGATTTATGTAATTTATATGGTTGTCTATGCGTATCGGTATATTTTTAATTAGATTATGTACAAAGTTATTGTATAATTAACAATAGGTAATATAAGAAGCTTATTATATATACAATTTAATCAATAATGCATATGAAATTTTCTATATACCATACAATTTAAAGCATGAAAATTGTTGTCTTTATACGTGTATTTATACAGATATATTTTTTTATAGCAGTTAATTATAATTGATCCCATACAATTTTATCTTTGTAAATGTTTTCAGTTATACATGATTTATTTTATACAATTTCAGTTATGCATGTTTGATAATAATTTTATTTAGACAAAATTTATGTGTGCCTTTTGCTTTTTGTACATTAAAATGTAAGTAAAGTTGTATGTGTATTTTTTTCAGGGTGTTAAATGTTTAGGCAAAAGAACAGCAACACGTACACCTCACATGCAATGTTATACAAATATTGAGTAATGGATGTTTTAACTGGAAAACTACGAGAAACTCAGTATAGACGTTTCTGTGGAACCACATGTTTTGCTCAGTTGATTAACATTCGTAGATGTCTAGGTGCAGTTTTTTAGGGAGATTATCGGCAGTTCTAAAGATGCAATTATGATACATGTAAACGACACATCTTTTGTTCATAAGGACAGTACAAAAGGATGATTCTTGAGTACATTAATGATTACAGAATGCATGTTTTTGTACCGTGTCATACAGTTGATAACAGTCTCATTCTTGTTAACGTTAAGGACAAGTTTTACCGGGTCTTGATTGTTGCATCCATTAATGATCGAGCTTTGATTCTCTTGGTGGTGCATTACACAATTCATATGTTTATAATGAAATCAAGAAATATGCGCAAGTTAATTCCTATGTGTCTATCTATTTCTGATTTTTACGATAAGAAAAGCTTGGATGTATCTTCACATCCTAAATGCAAGGGTAACTCTAAGTTGGACTCGTTTTATGTCAAGAATATACCTCAGCAAATAGAAGGAGCTTGTAAGTGTATATACTGTTATTTTATTTTGGTCTTGACTTATATTGACTTTGTTTTTACAAAATTATACCATTATATATATATATTTTTTATATACAGGGATTGTGAAGTACATGTTGTTGCTTATGTCGAGCATATCAGTAATGTAAATGTTGGTTCATAATCATTTAATGTTGAGTTAATGCGTACAAGATATGTGACAATGTTGTGAAATTATGGCATGCAGAAGATTGTAACCGATGCTACAAGTGATAGTGAAGCACCAGAGAGGCCACACGGGATTAAGAGAGAATGTGAAAGTAGTGAAAGGATCATAATTCATTAGAACAACAGTAATATTTTATGTGTTTTGTAAATATTTGAATGACATTCGTAACAATAGTTCTACTTTTTATATTTTTGGTATATTTGAATGGCATTTGTTTCATCTTTTAAAGTGCTGAACTTTATTATGCTTTTGTTGACAGTAGTATATTGTTCGAATTTTAAGGTGTTTTAAAATTATTTGTATATATTTAATTTTTAAAAAAAAATATTTTTCTTGAGTTATAATTGTTGTTATTAACAATTTAAAGAAAAACATAAATATATTTTTACTATGGTTGCTATTTAATTGTTTATTACCATAATTTATACAAATCAATATACACAAATGTATAAAGATTAGACTTACTCCCTCCGTTTCAAGAAGTTTGACCTCCTTTGCTTTTTAGTCTACTTAAAAAGGAATGACCTCTTTCTTTTTTTATGTAACATTTTAAAATCAGCTTTCCACATGACATGTTTAAGGTCACAAGATCAAAGGACAATTTTGTACATTTAACCTAACTTTAATTTAGGACCACAAGATACAAAAGTCTTATTTATACTCTTAAACTCCGTACCAAGTCAAACCAGGTCATTCTTTGTGAAACGGACGGAGTATAATTTTACACAAATTTTTTATATTGATATCTATATACGTTATGTAGATCATTAGTATAATTCAACCTCCAGTTACAAATTTATATATATATATATATATATATATATATATATATATATATATATATATAATACAGATCAATGTTAGAATACATTACTTTGTTACAATTAAGTTCAATGTTAAAACACACCATATACAAATATTTGTATAAATGACCTATATTCGCTTATAGTAATACATATTATACATAATTTCAATATACACAAATGTATAATGATTTATTCGTATAAATTTATACAAAATATTTTGTATAGATACCTTTATATATATTTTACAGTCAATTGTAATATTGTATAATTAAACACTTAGTTAAATTAAGTTAACGTTAAAACTCACCATATACATATATGTATGTATTAAATGGCCATTATTCGCTTATAGTAGTAATACAAAATTTTAATTTTGGTTTATACAAAAAATGTAATCACATTTTTCATATAAAAATGTGTGATCGCTATAAAAAAGAGAAAAAGTGTATGCACTTTTAAACACACCAATTGTATGCTCATGAACTAAAAAATAGAATAAACATGGCTCAAAAAAAAACTATTTAAGGTGCAAATGGCAATACTAATTAATTCAGAGTAAATTATTTCATATAACAAAGTATTCAAGTTTTGAAATATATAAACTTATAACCCATTATAAAACGAACTAATACTCGTGTGGCCTATTTCGACATAAACGCCTATTGGGACCTACAACTCCACATGAGCTACATGTATTTTTTTCTTTAATCCCAAACAATTTGCGTTTTGTTTTTGAGCGAGTTTTTTTTTTGGCCTGCCTAAAGGTCTTCTGTATATTGGAGCCGAACTTCATCATACATTATGTATTCAGGTATCACTATTCTGTTATATTAGGCAACAAAAAAATTTGTAACTCATAAATCTTTAACATTATCTTTGATTTGTATAAGTCAGAGCAATATTCATAAGGTATTAGACTCCTCTTATTTAATACAATTCAAACATTTTCACATGGTATTTTTCATATTAAAACCTGCCACAGCTACATGTTTTAGCCTTCAAATTGACTACAAAATTTCTACCATCGTCGTTCATACTGTGCACCTATTCAGTTGAGGGTACAACATATTATTTTTTTTATATAAAAATTAACTATACATACATTTTATACATAATTAAACAATAATAATTTCAAAATATACAAAAAAAAAAACATACCCTCATCAGTGTGCGCACCTCATTCTCAACTATCATATTTTAAATTTTCCAATCAATGATGTAAATGTGCATGTTGCTTCATGTTTATTACATATACAATTTAAAGCTATAGAAAAGTAGATATAAACAAATTAGATATTTTTATTCATTTACACATATACAGTTGAAACACTTATCCAGAGGCGAAATCAGGATTTTCAATAAGGGGGTCAAAATTTGTAGAAATAGACACATGAAGTAGCCGAATGGGGTTCGATATCTACTATATATACATATAAAATTATTTTATTCATACATAAATAATATAATTTTTCACCGAACGGAGTTCGGATGAACTCCCTTCGTACAAGGTAGCTCCGCCCCTGCACTTATATATATATATATATATATATATATATATATATATATATATATATATATATAATACACACACACACATATACACGCGCGCGCACAAAACTTTTATACTTATGCTTAGTACTACTTCAAACATACCTATATACAAATTGGGAATACAAATTTATACAAAAACATTTTGGAAATACAAATTTATAATGAGTTTTAAAACCCTTCATAAAATACGTTGATCGTAAACTGTACAAATTCAAAAGTAATCTTAAAATTCAAAATCTATATGTAAAACTTATATTTTGCCTTAAAACTTGTAGTAATGGATATTTTTCAGAAATCAACACAAAGAACTGCAACTGAATATATCCAGATTTTTTCATTCGAATTTTTTTCTATATATTATGTTACATTTATACAGTTGAATTTCCTTTTTAGTGATGTATGTCCGTATATTTCAAGGTTATCTAATGTTTATTTCTTTTTCTTCAGTTTGTTTGTGCTATAAAAGTTGGTTCGACGAAACAATCTGAGTTCTCTTGATGAAGAAGTTCTTAAACAAATGAAATTCTATTAAAAAGGTGATATGTGTGATTTATGAGATTCTATAAAACTGCAAATATGAGCAGTTTTAAAAAATAAATTTATATATAATGAAAACTAAATCACTGATTTATAGAAAACAAATACTAATAGCAAATTTAAGTATGCTATTGAGCGCAAAAATAGAACTGTAGCTATAGAGCGTCAATATGAATTTTATCTTTGTTATTCCTAAAATATATACTCTATAAACATCTACGAATAGAACTCCACGCCTTTTTTTAATAAGACACATCTATGTGTGGAATTCTGAGTCATTTTTTAATGACAAAAAAGAAATAATAAACTAAAAAAATTAATTAAATCAAATATCCTTCCCATCTTTTCTTCTTCAGCCCCCAACCCCCATCAATTCTCCCTCCCTTCCTTCTTCATCGGATTTCACCCCTTTTCTTCCTTCTTCAGGTCCCATCGATCTCCCTTCTCATCACTTCTTCAGATCTCTTTCTATGTTTTTTTTTATTATTTTCTCCATTCAATTAAAAAATATAAGCAAATTGATGAAGTGAACAAAGAGATAAAAAAAAACGAAACTACTAAAAAATACAATTGCAGATTTCACTCATTTGATGATTTGTGAAACATATAAAAAGAATTTTATTGTGTTTTTTGGTGTTCATTCAATTCTCCAATAATAGTGAAAGGGGATGAGAATTTTTAGTATTTTTCTAGTTTCTTGGCTTTTGACTTTTTCGATTTGAAATTGATAATGTGTCAAAGAAATTGATTGTACTAAAAGTTAGGGTTTTGTATGAACTGATATTTGTGGAGTTATTGCTTTTTGAAAGTGGTAAAAAGGGGGGAGAAGAAGAAGGGGTGAATGGGATAAAGAAAGGGAGAAGGCAAAGAAGAAATAGGTATCTAATTTAGTCCGTCAACGGTCTATAAGGGTCTCTCTTGTTGAGAATATAGAAGTGTACAAGAATAATCAACTAAGCTGCCACCTGGGAAAAGTAGCCATAACTAACTTAATGATTAGTTAGTTGGTTAATTAAAAATGAACATGATCAGTTAGTTTTGTATAAATAGATAGTAGCATTGTATTGTGCAGATATAGATGAATTACAATTTTCTCCTTTTCACTGTAAATCTCTCCCACTCTCACTTCCAGTTCATCTTCATCCTTTCAAGCATAGTTTTAACATGGTATCAAAGTCATTAATGGTGGTTACAACTTCTTAAATTGTTAGCTTTCTTTTTCTCTATAAATCCTTGATTCTGTGGGTTCCTCATCAATGACGATTAGAGGTGAATCATCAACTGATGCGATTGGATCGGAAAATGTCCATATTTCGAGATCAACTTTCGATTCATTCGATCCTTTATTTTTACAGATTTTAGATATTCCAGGTGTAAATTTAGCTCATTGTGTTCTTACTGGATTGGAGAATTATACTCTCTGGAGTAAATCAACGCGACTTACATGATAGGGAAGAACAAAATTGGTTTCGTGGATAGCACCTACAGGAATGATATGTATGCAGGTCAGATGACTCATCAATGGGAGCGGTCAAGTGCATTTGTACTCTCATATATCATGAGCTCGGTTTCGAAGGATCTGATTAATGGCATTGTCTATTCATCCAATGCTCACAAAGTCTAGGTAGATATTAAGGAACGATTCGATAAAGTGAATACTACCAAAATCTATCATATTTCTAGAGGAATAGCGACATTAAAAAAGGTATTTCTACAATTTCGATTTATTATTCGAGACTGAGAGAACATTGGGAGGAATATGAGTCTCTAGTTCCTCCTCCTTCGTGTTCATATGATAAATCTCGTGAGTTCATCCAAAACTGGAGCAGCAAAAGCTAATGCAATTCTTAGGAGGTCTAAATGAGAATTACAATCAGTCAAGGAGTCAAATTTTGATAATGACCTCTATTCGCTCAGTAAAGCAAGCATATTCATTGATCATCCATGAAGAGAGTCAAAGAGCTCATCTCAAGATGGTGAATCTTTTGTTGTTGCAGAAACTGGTGTAATGCGACCTGATCCAAATTTGAAGCAAAAAGAAGTCATGGCTTCTTGATACAAAATTGGTGAATCTTCAGGATTAGCCAATGTGAATGAACGCTATCGAAACAACAGCAACATAAGACTACGGAGAAATGCTCATCTTCAATGTGATTTCTTTCACCTGAAGGGTCACACAAGAGAGAAATGTTACAAATTGATTGGATATCCCAAGACTTCAAATTTACCAAGAATAGGAAAAAATATCAAAATGATTTTATAGGAGGAAACTACAATGGTTCTAGATATCAAGGTCAAAATGGCTATAGATCTGGGGGTTACAGCGCACAAAAA